GAGAGCGCGAGAGAGAGAGAGAGAGCGCGAGAGAGAGAGCGAGAGAGAGAGATAGAGGGTGGGGAGAGGGAGAGAGAGAGAGAGAGAGACCATCTCACCTGTAATGTCTAGTGACAGTGCCGTGGGCTGCTTCAGCTTCAATGGTCTTGCCATCAGGGCACACGAGCACACTAGTCATCAGACCCAGCGATCCATAACCTGTGCACCCAAAAAACTCACTCAGAATGCACTGTTACCTTCAAGTGTGGCAGGCAGGCACGCAGACACGCACAGGCGCACGCACGCACCTACACATTTCTACTTAACCAACATTTAAGCGTGCAGCACCTTGGTTTGGGACAGTTACGACATTTATGTAGGAATATTCAACTATAAACGTTCTAATGGGTATTCATTTATAATAGATACTATTAGATAGTCAACAATAGGGTTTACAAGCACTATTAAAGCGTTAATAGTTACTGTATTTATTTTGGCCAGTCAAAAATCTTTTATGTGCTCATGTAAATTCTATTAACATGGCCTATTTAGATTTTGTGGCCGGGTATAAAATCGATGACCGATTTACCCACCTTGAGCTACGATGTCCGACTGTACATCTCCGTCGTAGTTTTTACAGCCCCAGATGAAGCCGCCTTTAGATTTAAGGGCTTGCGCAACCATGTCATCAATTAGCCTGTGCTCATACCAGATCCCCAACTCCTTGAACTTGGCTTCATACTCCCTAGAAAATAACGAATGAAAGATATTACATTATAATACACACATATGCATTCGTGCACATAGCAAATGTAGGGAATGTGCCCTAAGCTTGACATTTTTGACATAATACATGCGAGTGTAAATTACAACTGCACAAAGACAACACATGCAATCACCAATGTGCATGACAGACGGTTACAACGATGTCTCCTCAAATTTACCAGCCATCTGTATTATAATGCCTTTATATATATCTATCTATATATTTTTTTTTATCATATCTGTTACTTATGTGTTATGTATATTATCACCCCATTCTGTACCGGGGGCAGCAGCATACTTCTCATAAATCTCTTGGAAGATGTCCTTGAATCTTCCGTCGTAGCGCTTCAGAATCGTGTTCTTTGTGCTCAGATAGAGCGGCCATTTCTTGGTGATGGCCATTACAAAGCAAGCGTGGGCGAAGCCCTCGATCGACTATCAAGGCAAAACAACACATCGCATCCATGCAATTAAAATAAAATATATACATTGAGAAAAAAAGAGCACTTCACTTGTAACGCTGTGCCGAGATGGCAAATATGCCGAGTTATGTCATCGATTGGACCATGATATTACCATACAGAAAAAATTAGCTTGGTCAAAAGAATGTAGAATACACAGCACTTCATGTGTGGCATTGCACAGAACTCGTGAATGTGCCTATTGGCATCGCTGCATGGAGTAAAATATTACCACAATTATGTTGCTTGGTTAAACATATTTGTGAGAAACGATCACTTCACATGTTTGCTGCACAGACCTGGTGAATAGATATAGTGGTGCCATCGCTTGGAGCATAATATCACTGTACAACAAATTGACCTGCTTGATAGAAAAGGATAGTTGTATTCTGAAGTATTGATTGCACCACTGCAAACTAGCATCTTTGAAGACCGATAAGAGTACACACCTCATCAGTGTTGTACATTGCCATGGTTACGCCACCTCCCTTCTTGAAATCGAACACCTCCACAGTCTGCTTGTCTCCTGTGGAGGGAGTGTACACGAGCTCGACCTTCCCATTTCCTGGGATGACCATATCTGTTGCTTTGTACTAAAAAAACGGATAAGGTGCCAGTCACATAAGAATGTCACTTGGTTCTGACACGTCATATATGCAAGTATTTCAATCTACAGCAAACTCCCCGTTACGCAGGTGAGGTTATGTAAACATGCTTGTGAACACACGTCACTCGGCACACGACGTACGTACACTTTTGTTGTTTACATAAACGGAACGTAAACGTACCGTTCCGCGAATAAGAGATGAATTTTTAATTGTTCTACAAGTTCACAACTCATACATAGCAGTGCAGAATCTTCTGAGGTGTGCCCGAGTGGGCACAACCAAGGACATACAGAGCTCTGAGGTTCAGCGGAGACGCATAATCAGCCAAGGCACGCCGAGTGGTGCCCCCCCCCCAACCTCCGCCGCACCATGCCACGCACCAGGGTAAAGAATACACGGGAGCGATGAGCGATTCGCTCTTCAAATGTCCGAAATCGCTCCTGTGAAGCTCAAAATAGCTCCCATAACATTTTTGACGAGAGCTATTTTTTCCACAGACTTGAAAAAGAGCTCTCGTGAAAAAAAGTAATTCTCCCCCCCCCCACCTCCGTCGCGCCGTGCCACGCGCTCACCTGGTCTCCGTGCGCGTGACGCCCGATGACGATCGGCATCGTCCAGCCGGGAACGAGGCGCGGGATCGTGTCGCAGAGAATCGGCTCGCGGAACACGGTGCCGCCGAGGATGTTCCGGATCGTTCCGTTCGGACTCAGCCACATCTTCTTCAGGGAGAACTCTGCACACAGAGACGCGATCTCGGTCGATCACTGAGAACATTCGGCTCGGGCAATTGATCACTGGCTGGTGATGGGGCCATAATAAAAATATTGTTCGTTTGCCCTCACCCGATCGACCCGCCAAAAAGGGGCCGACTCAAATATTTTTATTGATCTTTCCGATTCTTTTTTTTTTACAAATTGCATCCCTGTACATTATAAATCTGTAGGCAATACATTATATGTACCAAGCAAAACAAACATTCAACATAAAAGGTATCTCCACACAAGCACACCCGAGCATGTAGACACCATGCTGAATTTGTAAAAAGACCCCCGTCAACAAAAATTTTAAGCCTACCTACCTACCCAAACTTTTCAGCATGGGTTGGGTGAGGGCAAACAAAGATTTTTTTAATTGATCACTGAGATCCTTCAGACTTGTCATGTTTCAATCAGTAATTCATTAGTCATTGAGCAGTGATTGATAAGTCAGCATTATCAGTCAGATCAGTCAATGACCACTTATTGATTAGTCAGTACATGTATTTCTTATGATATTGAGCAGAGCCACAGATGGCATTGCACATTAGGTGGCAGGAGCTGTTTTGTTTCTTAATTTTTACAACAGTTAGAAAAGGAAAAACACCTTAATGGATTCATTCATCTAAAACAATCCCCCACCCACCAATTCGCTCAGGTTAGATTTGCAACTTATTGAGGACTGACACATCTATTTTCTGACAAATTCAAAAACGAGTCAAAACAGAAAAATACAAGCTTACAGATTCCCCCGTCTGCCCCCAGTTCTAACATCTGAAGTGACTCCCCAATCTACAACAATTCCTCTACCTACATCAGTCCTCTCTCTTTCTCTATGCCAATTTCCCTACCTATACCAATTCCTCTCTCCGCACCGATTCCCCTACCCACAATCAGGCATGAGAACAGGTTTAGATGTTTTTGGAGGAAATATTTCAATTCATGCTGAAGGCACGATAACAGTGTGCGTAGCACACTGTCCTGCTAGGGGGGTCTGGGGGCATGCACCCAAGAAAATTTTCGAAATTTGGAAGGGCAGATAGGCCATTTCCATGCATTCTGGGGAAAATTGCAAGTCCATTCCGTTCTTAGTAAAAGACCAATTTCATGACTAACAATTCAAAGTCTTGTCATTTTCTATAAAAATTTCAATGTTTTATGAGGCGGTTAACTTAAAGCATGCCTTAATTTACATTACATAGATACACCGCGATATTTATCTGGAGTTCTGTTACTTCTGTGTGAAATTTGGCGTACTTTTCCTAACTTTTTATGAAGTTTAAATTAAAAATGGCATCCATTTTTACCAAAAAAAGTATGCATTACCCCCTAAGCTTTTTATTCGTTTTTTGCATCAATCTCAAGAATGACTGAAATGAAAACCAAAACCCGGAAATCCGCGAATACGTGGAAAATTCTCATGCCTGCACAATGATTGCCATCCATCTACACCACCTACCCCATCTACATAAGATTCACTCAAGCCAGTCTCCAAGCTGCCGACGGAGACAGATGACAGAACACGGAGCACGGATTCGCGCGACTCACCCTCGACGCGTTGCTCATCTGGCGTGATCGTTGCACACTTGATTCCGACATTGTACTTCTGGATTGCTGCGGCGGAGTCGATCGTCACCTGGTCATTGGTGGCGTCACGGTAGGGCAGGCCGAGATCGTAATACTTGCAGTCCAGCTCCAGGTAGGGGAAAATCAGCTGCCGAGCACACGCACACGCACGGCATGTCAGTATCACCAGCACGACATCAACGACAACCTCTCACACGACGACAAATCTCAAGTAAAATATACATACTATCGCCACTCAGTGTAGGACATCTTACACACCAACGAATCATTAAAAAAACATAATAGTACACAATAGATACTGTGGAAATAATTCACACTTTGCAAATACAAAAGAATTACATCACAGATAATCTGTATTAATTTCTAAAACTGACACAAAAACTTTTTTCAACACCTTAAGGGAATGAAACATGCCTCCCCATGCATACCTACCTTATCCTTGATTTTCTCCCAAATGATTCTGGTCATCTCATCTCCATCAAGTTCCACTACTGGGTTCTGCACCTTGATGCGCTTCCCAGAAACTGCAATAATAAGAAGGGTATTAAAATACTGTTTATGAGAAATCAATGACAGACAAGATCGAAGATAACACAATGAGTGATATGAAATTAATATGAGTGGATGCTTACACTAAAATTAAAACAAGTCGGTTAAACACATTTTAATGTACTAAACATAGAAAAGGATGAAGCAAAGTTCTCGAAGCTTTGAAATTATAGCATGGGGGTGCTACTCATTGCTAGAGGGGTCCGGGAGCGTGCCCCACCTGAAAAAATTTTAATTGCAGAAGCTCTGAGATGCAATCTGGGAAGCTCTTTGTGTAAATTTGAAGCACTGCATGTGGGGTGAAAATGTTTGTTTTGCATGGGCAAAGCCATCAGAAAATTCAAAATAATTAATGGAATAAAAATACCAAAATGTAGGGGTGAACTTGCTGGTTTGCTAGTTCCAAATCGAGTTCACCTCTCATAAATAAATAAAAACATTTTTGTCACCATTGACAATGGCAGGAGTGGTCGGTAAGTGTACCAGTCTACTCTACCT